TTGAACTTGAAAGGTAGTCCTCCTGCCTCAGCCTTCTGAGTGCTGAGATTACAGGTGTGTACCACCATGCCCAGCACTATGGCATGTTTTTTTTTTTTTTTTTTGTGGCATGTTCTTGAGCAGGACTGGCAGAATATAGCTTGTAGGCCTCGGTGCCTGTATGTATATACAAAGCTAAGAAAACATTTACATTTTCAGAGTTATAAAAAAAAGGAAAAATGTGCCACAGAGAGGCTAAGATCTTTACAGAAAATTTGCCACCCCTGTTTTATGAGCATTGCAGAGTACCTACCATTCCTAGCTCTTGCTCACTAGATGCCAGCAGCTCTCTAATTACTGTGAACCCGAACAGTCTCCAGCATTTCTCAGGTGGAAGCAATACTACCTCATTGTGAACTCCTATTCTTATCAGTTTTCAAGTTTTCATTCCTCTGTGAAACACTTAACAGATAATGCATGCATAGTATATTTCCCTGCAGAGTGCTGTGCTTGTAATTTTCTTTTTTACTGGACTTCCCCCTGCAAGGAAATAAGATGAGGGAGAAAATTGTTAATACAAGTATACCTTGAAAATTGTTCATTTTATACCTTAAAAATAAATCTTGGGCCGGGGATTTAGCTCAGTGGTTTTGACTCGAGTTCGATCCCCAGTACCAAAAAAAACCAAACCCCAAAATAAATCTTAATGGTACCACTACTTGACTAGCGCTACTAACACATTACTTGCAACTTATCTCATTTTTCATAGTAGAATGCTTCATAATATCCTGATTGATAATTGCTGCAGTAGGTAATAGCCATAAGATAGTTTTAAAAAGGAAGTGGCAGGATCCATTGACAGATCACTTTGATGGTGTATAGAAGATACACAGGAGGTATGTCTACACTTAATTTAGGTACAAGATACTGAGAGCCTCTACCAGGTAGTAGGGACAGACCAGAGGGAACATATTATTAGAAAATTATTTGGGAAAAAAAAAAGAAAATTTTTTGGGAAATAAAAATCAGTAAAATTCAACAGTTGAAGGTTATAGACTAGTGATGGCAAACCTTTTAGAGCTTTCAGTGATATAAACAGCCTACTGCGGCATGTGTGACATAGGTTCAATAACAGTGTTTTAGACATTTTAACTTATAATGCCTATTTGTTCCCTATTAGAATCACTTGGGGCATTTTTAAACAGTATCAGTGTCTGGGTTCCATTCTAGGGTTTCTAGAAATCAGAATTTCTGGAATGCCATCTGGGCACTGATATTTAGTATATGTGCTGCGAAAGCAAACACTGGGCACTGATATTTAAAAATACACTTAATGATTTTTTTTTTTTTTGATACAAGGTATCCCTTTGTAGTTCAGTCTGGCCTGAATTCACTATGTGGCCCAGGCTGGCCTCCACTCACAGTGATCCTCCTGCCTCAGCTTCCCAAGTGCTGGGATTACAGGTGTGTGCCACTACGCCCAGCTCTTCCTGATTCTAATGTATATTCTCTGTTGAGAACTACTAATTCAAGTTTGGAGGTAGAGGTAACAATCAAGGATGAGTGCCAGGCTGTCACTTTAGGCTACCAGTAGATGGAGGTACTTAGAACATGTGTGTCATGGTAGCTATTTCAAATATTTCCTGAATTAAGTGAAAATGGATGAATTTGATCTCAAACTAAAATCAGTTCTTCACTTAAATTGTTTGGTTTTTTTGGTACTGGGGATCAAACTCGGGACCTTGCGCTTGTTGAGGCAGGTGCAGGAACCACTGAGCTAAATCCCTGGCCCTCTTCACTTAAATTGACTTCAATTCCAATATTGACTATAACCCAACCAAAATAACATATCACAGGTAAAGTTATATCTGAATGTATATTCTTGATGTGATTTGAGGAAGAGGGGGATACAAACCACCCAAGTTATTTCATGATACTTGAAACAGAGCACCAGTGGAAATAATTTAGCTTAATTACAGTATATTACACAAATTACACAGTATATTACAGTATATTCTTTCTAATGAGTGGCAGAGCCAGAGATTTGGGGCTCTAATATCTGGCAAATAGGCAGATTAATTTGGTATGTTTATTGAATAGTAACATGAAATGTCTTTAACCTAACAGAAAGTTGCAATATTTACCATATCATTTTTTTGTTAATGAACAAATGAAAGCCATCTTTGTCTTTTAGCCCCGGCAAAACTCTATCTCAAAATACTAAAAAAAAAAAAAAAAAAAATCCCCTTTCCTTTTGCTCTACCTGGAAAACCCTGTCTACCTTGGACCAGCCACAGACAAAATCCACCTAGGAGGATAAAGGATAAATGACAAGTTCAAAGCCTTGAAAGAAAACCTGGCACTTGACTGGTGATGATATTGGCTAAATGTCTTAAAAGCAAAAGATCAAAAAGCAAATGGAAATTGGGCCTTAAAAATGGAAATAATCTGAAAGGGGAAATGACTTGTCGCTGAGTAAGAGCCATGGAAACAGTCACGAATACATTTTCTGGCTCCATTTGGTGGGTCAGATTGGGAGGGAGAATAGTCTTTGGCCACCAACATTTTCAAATATCAGAGCTTGATGCTCATCTACCTTTTCATTCCTCCTGAGAAATAATTCACAGCTCTCTTAGCATATAATTGCTGCTCCACCCTTACATCTTTTACCTTGGGGTTCTCAGGGTTGCCCTATCTGTCTCGAAGTAACACAAAAAGGTGCAGTTCTTCCTGGGTGGAATTTTCCAGACCTCTACAATCTGCCTTTCTGGAAGAGCACCGCAGAAAGTGCAAAGATTACAAACATATTGAGTGCTTGGCCTCAGAAGACAGGCTTTCTCCCAGATGGAGCCCCACAGCTTCCTCCCACCGTTACTCTGTCAGGGGTGGCAAAGAGTACCATCTGCTGCCCCTTTCAAGAGGGAGGCTTTGCCTCCGCCCTTTGGGCTCCAGGGGACCCGTTTCTAAGCCTGTCAATAGGTATCTGGCAACAGCAACTCTTTGCAACACATCATGGTGCTTTTTAGAAATGTCACTGTGCCATGTGGTTACTTTCCTGGCCATCAGTAATGCTGCCAAGAAAAAAGCATTGCTTTAAATGTCCATTTATGCACAAAGGAGATGAAAATACTCCTGCAGTTGTTTCATCTGCACTCAGGGTGGGAAAAGTTTGCAGAAGGAGATTGTCTATCGGCTGGATGGAAAATCTTCCAAGGGACTGCTTCTGAACCTTTTGTTTCTGGTCCTGCTGTCGGGTTGCATCTGCCCTTTGGGTGCCCTAGTGGAAATTTGCAGGAATCGCCCAGCATCCAGACACCTCTGGGAGATGGATAAGTCCAAGCAGGTAAGAAGACAGGACCTGCCTCATCACTGTGGAACTGGAAGGACCAGATGCTTCTGCTCCCTTCCTCAGGATGGTTAGACAGCCATCTGGGAGGAGTGACCAAGGCGTGCAGAAATGCAGAGGTTATTCCCTGTGGTTGCACTGGAACCAAGAGCCCAGAGGCTGCAGCCGACCAGAGCCCATCAATGGGACAATGGGTGTCCTGAAGACAGAGTACCACCTTAGTAGCCTGGCCTTTTTGACTGCATGAGTGTTCACCACCATTTTATGATCCTGGACCTCCAGCTTTCCTAGTGATTCTGTGAACCACACTGATCCCTACCCCTGCCAAGATCTTGCCAATAAATTCCTTTCTACTTTAATTAGCTAGAGACAGTTTTTGAGGTTGACAACCAAGAGTCCTGACCTGAATGCCACACTTTCTAAATTTAGGTAAACAAACATCATTTACATACAGATAGCAATTCAACCTCTACTTCTTCCTAGTTCCTTTTCAAATACATAGTTTCCGATTCATTGTCAGTATCTTACAGTCTGCTTCACATAGTAGAAATGGAAAGTTCTGATACAGATTAATAACAAGATGTATGGTGTTCTCTGTGTCTGTGCGTGTGTTTGTGTGTGTAATCCCAACCTACCAGCATAGTTTACTAGGCACAGTTTAAAATTACCTATGAAAATATTAATCTATATTGTCCTCATGAATATGATAATATTCAATCATTCAAAAATACCTGCTTCCCCTGCCACCATCCCACGCTCCTAGGGCAGAGAAGGTGAACCAGTCCCAGCACCTGGAAGGAAGCTCCCTTGCCACCATCCCATACTCCTAGGACAGAGAAGGTGAGCAGCGTGGGTGGCAGAAGCAACCTCCCATTCCCCTGTGGAAATGAGAAGACACATAAACAAGCCTCAAAAACAGAATTCCGGATCACCTACAGCAACCCCAAAGGGAAACAAGGTGGAACAATCTGATACTCAACCACCTGGACTCTCTGAACTGGCAACAAAAGAGGATCTGGGAAAAATGAA